CTGGCTATAATATATATAGAGTGTGGGTCAACACAGCGCTATGCCACCCCAACAGGCTATGGCACAGTCCATCACGGTCTAAATCTAACTAAACCCAACACCACAATCAACCCTAATGCGTATAGTGCGTAGGTGTTTAGTGTGAAGAGGTGCGTAGGTAAACCTAACTCCTAAAATGGGGGTAAAAACCTAAAATGGGGGGTAATTGTCCCCCCCACCCCATTCCCTGAGACCCCCCCTCTGTCTCTTTACACTAACTATAGTGTAATAATTCCGGTGTGCTATTTCTTGAGGTTATCTTGAGATAATTTCGAGGCTTAGTGTCCCCGCGGCTCGGTCCTCGACCAGGCTTCCACCCCCAGGAAGCAGCTCTGGTGGTGGGAGACGTTACCACACATAAGGATAACCAAGACCAAGAATGGGAAGTAAGAGAAAGACAAGGAGAAAAGGGGTGGAAGAAGATGGTTGAAAAAAGAGAGGCCATGAAGAAGGCGATAACTAAGACTAGGCGGTCAAGTAAAGGAGTATTGGGAAGAGGAATAGAAGGATTAGAACGGGAAGGAGGAGAAAGATGAAAAGGAAAGGGGAGATAAGTAAGAAGATGCTGGAGGAAGAGTAGAAGAAAGTGATGAGGCATGAGGGAGACGAATAGCAGGGGCAAGAACGGACAAAGGTGGAGACCACAGGAGGTGTAATAGAGGGAGGGGGAGGAGGAAGAGAGAGAGGAAGGGGGGGAGGGAGGGGGGCAGAACTAAAGAGTGACGGGCAAGAATGGGAAAGGGGGGGGGGGAATGGTGTATAAAGGGTTATTTGCAAAACAAAGAGACCATTTGGGTTCACCTTTGGTCCAATACCTCGGTGGCCGCCACAACGAGACGAATGCTAACGAAGCGATTACATTTTTACATCACCCCCCCCCTCCCCCCCCACCCCACCCCCAAACCTCCCCCTCAAACGCATCCCATTTTTTGTTTCATTTCGGTGAACCGAGAGGCCAATATCTCTCAACCCTTTAGCTAGAGAATCTTCCTCAAATGCAATGTTGCATTTTAATGTCCCAGCCGCATATTGGTGGAGGAGTAGAAAGCGTTTGTGCCTTATAGTTTTACCCCGGCAGTCAGTTAGAGGGTGAACGTGTGTCCACGCGTTCAGACCAACCTCGCGTTCAGTGACATAGAACGCCCAGGAACGCGCCTTGTGTCCCCCCCCGCCATCCCCCCCCTTCTCCCCTGCGGGATGAACTGAAAAGCTTTCAACAATAATTCAAAGGTTTCAATTGTGCTTTTAGTTTACGTAACAATGACTACTGAATAACTATGACTTATGCAAGCGCAGGGGGGAAACAAATGACTGTATCTTGGCACCAGGTAACCTAACAGTGGGTGATGTGGCACCAGACAACGTGGCACTGGCTGGCTTGGCACTGGGTGGCTTGGCACTGGGTGACTTGGCACTCTGAGTGGCTTGGCACTCTGGGTGAACCTGCAGCAGGTGTGGGCAGAGCTGGCCCTAACAAAGTGGACCTTCCTTGGCGGCTGTGAACGAGGATACTCTACAGAAAACCCAATTTTAAAATAGTTCTCCCTATAGAGGAAACCCAATCTGTTCCCCCTTTGAAAGACATCCGCCACCTTCCCCCCCCCACCCACCCAAACACACACACACACGCCCTTGAGTGCTGTGTTCTTATACAACGCCAATTGGCTTAAAACAAAAATACCCAACTAGTTTGATTTATTCTAGTTTATTTAACTGTTTTCAATCAGCGCTTTTTTTCTGTTTTCCTTTAGAATTGATTGATTGATAAAGATTAAGCCACCCAAAAGGTGGCACGGGCATGAATAGCCCGTAAGTGGTGGCCCTTTTGAGCCATTATCAGTATCAAGAGCTGATACTGGAGATCTGTGGAGGTGCGACTGCACCCTGCGTGACGGGAGATGTCTCCCGTGTGGAGAAGGGATTGTCCTTTAGAATGCTCATGCATATGCGTGTATGTATGTATGTATGTATTTATGTATGTATGTATTAAAGGAATATCTGTTTTCAGTTCAATAGTGTTTTACTAATTTGTTCTGGTGATAAGGACAAATAGTTCATCTATAATATGCTTGTAATAGGCGAGAATCATAGCTATCATTCTTTGTCAGACAGTGAGTGTGACAGACAGTGAGTGTGACAAGACAGTGAGTGTGACAGACAGTGAGTGTGACAGACAGTGAGTGTGACAAGACAGTGAGTGTGACAGACAGTGAGTGTGACCAGACAGTGAGTGTGACAGACAGTGAGTGTGACAAGACAGTGAGTGTGACAGACAGTGAGTGTGACAGACAGTGAGTGTGACAGACAGTGAGTGTGACAGACAGTGAGTGTGACAAGACAGTGAGTGTGACAAGACAGTGAGTGTGACAAGACAGTGAGTGTGACAAGACAGTGAATGTGACAAGACAGTGAATGTGACAGACAGTAACTGGCAGAAAACGCGTGTAAGAGTGTGTGCGTGAGAGAGAGAGACAGAGTGAGTGTTAAAGACAGGAGTGACAGTGACAGACAGGATGAGTGTGACATTGTGTGTGTGACAACCAGTCGATTAAGGGTTGAGAGGCGGAACCCAAGAGCCGAAGCATTCCAGCAAGTACAACCAGGTGAGTAGAGGGAGAGACAGCACGAGAGAAGGAGAGTGTGTGTGTGTGTGTGTGTGTGTGTGTGTGTGTGTGTGTGTGTGTGTGTGTGTGACGGCGCGCGCGCGTGAGCGTATGTGGGGCCATTGCAGTAGATTTCAGTGGTCAACGGCCACCCCGCAGTGAAGAAGATGAGGTCCAGGGCCCTCTGTCACTGGCCGCAAGGTGAGGGGGAGAGAGCAGTGCCAGGCACTGTCCCTTCTTACTGCGCACAGGGGGGGGGGAGAGGTGGGGAGATACTTCAGTCGTTCCTAGGTCTTACCCACTACCCACTCACGCGATTCCTTACCTACCCTATCCCTACCCATGCAAACCTTAAAACTAGTCCTTCTCTCTACTCATGCAAACCCTAACCTAACCTACCTTCCCAAAGGCAGGCGATGAGTCACAATAACGTGGCTAAAGTAAGTTGACCAGACCACACACTAGAAGGTGAAGGGACGACGACGTTTCGGTCCGTCCTGGACCATTCTCAAGTCGATTGTGAGAATGGACTTGAGAATGGTCCAGAACGACTTTAGAAACAATCATTTCTTGAGAAATGATTGTTGAGACTTGAGACACATTGTCACAATCGACTTGAGAATGGTCCAGGACGGACCGAAACGTCGTCGTCCCTTCACCTTCTAGTGTGTGGTCTGGTCAATCTACCTTCCCAAAGGTAGTCTTTGATGAGCCGCCAGTCTTCGTGGCAGGCATTAAGAGCTCAGTTCCGAGACTTTTGGGGACAGTAATTACAGCCTTCAGAGGCAAGCTTTCTCCTTTTATGTGTACCAAAGGACCAAAAATTATGTATATAAGAGTCCCACGCTCCGAGGTCTCAGGGATCTTAAGAGTGTCTTGCGCACTCTAGAGACAAATTTCCGATTAAATAATTCACGTCTACCAGGATAAGGAAACTGCAGGAGACTGGACTCCTGGAAGTTCCAGATAGACACATTATTACAGGGATTTATAAATCATTCTAAATCAAAATGCATCTTAGAGTGAAACTGGAACTTATCGGACGATGCGAAGCCCAGCAGATAAACGGGATTCAGAAATATACGAAAAGCTTTTCTTATTTTTGGTGGCAATATTACCCACGAAGAGGAAGGGAAGGATGGGGCATCCACAGCAAAAAAACAAAATAAGTAATACTTTCTGGACTACCTTGAGGTTACCTTGAGGTGCTTCCGGGGCTTAGTGTCCCCGCGGCCCGGTCGTCGACCAGGCCGTCGACTATACTATGCTGTTTGATGGTGTTATTTCTGGCTGCTCATAGGTGGTGACTCAAGGTGGAGACGCGGCTACCCGGGGTTCTTCTCCTCCACCTAAGGTGCTCTTCTCGCTGATGTTCTCCTTATTTAAGGTATTCCTTCAGCTAAGATGCTCCTCCAGCTGAGGTTCTCTTCTCGCTGATGTTCTCCTTATTTAAGGTATTCCTTCAGCTAAGATGCTCCTCCAGCTGAGGTTCTCTTCTCGCTGATGTTCTCCTTATTTAAGGTATTCCTTCAGCTAAGATGCTCCTCCAGCTGAGGTTCTCTTCTCGCTGATGTTCTCCTTATTTAAGGTATTCCTTCAGCTAAGATGCTCCTCCAGCTGAGGTTCTCTTCTCGCTGATGTTCTCCTTATTTAAGGTATTCCTTCAGCTAAGATGCTCCTCCAGCTGAGGTTCTCCTCTTGTGTAGGTACACATAGGCGAGCATAACCCCCCTACACAAATATATCCTCCCCCTCCCCCCCCCCACACACACACATACACACAATCTTCACAGACTGCCAAAAAAGCCTTTGATATCGTCCCCATAAAAGACTAATATATAAGATGGAGAAGCAGGAAGGAATAACTGGGAAGGTCCCGGGCTGGGTGAGGGATTACCTCACATCCAACCTGGGTGACCTCACATCCAACCTGGGTGACCTCACATCCAACAGTCACGGTGAAAGGGAAGGGAACTATCAGGGGTAAAGCGCCAAGCTATCACCACTTTATAGCACTGGGAAGGGGTCAGGAATAAGGATTTGGGATGGGACGGGGGGAAAGGAATGGTGGCCCCAACCACTTGGACGGTCGGGGATTGAACGCCGACCTGCATGAAGCTAGACCGTCGTTCTACCGTCCAGCCCAAGTGCTTGGACAGTCACGGTGGGAGAAGAGATGTCAGAGTGGCAAGCTAAGCTCTTGGCTCCCCTACTCGTCCTCACCAATATCAAACACATACCCCCCCCCCCCCGGGAGCTAAGATCGAACGGATCAGTTACAAAATCAACGCCACCAGAGAAAACGGAATATGCTGTAATGAGGTATTACCCAAAGCTGAAATAGCTTACGGAATGAGGTTATAAAATGGCGGGGTACTTACTTTGGGTACAGTCGGGCCCAGCAAAGCCCGGATGACACTGGCAGGAGCCCAGGATACAGTCACCGTTGCCAGAGCAACCTCTCGGGCACCCTTCTGTGAACTCGGACGACACGTCGCCCGTCAGCGTCACCTCCTGCGGGTCTCCGTCGTCGTTGTACAGGCTAAGGAACCAATGGCCCTGCTCCAGGTACTTGGTCATCGTCTGCGGTTGTGCCGGCGCCTGTGGCATACGGGAATGAAGCGCGTCTTGATATTATTTGTATATATATATATATACAACATTAGGATGAGCAAGATTGGGTATTTTGAATGGTGTTCATTTGTGTAATAGCTTTCGGGTAATAGGTTTTTATTGTTACAAAAACAGAGTGTATAATGAGCCTTTGTCATGCGGGGTAAAAGCACAATCTATAAGTAAAATAGTGGCAAATAATGGATAAAAAAAATATTAGTGATAAACGAAAGAGACAAGAAATACATAAATACAAAGAAGATAAAATACACAAGAGAGAGAGAGAGAGAGAGAGAGAGAGAGAGAGAGAGAGAGAGAGAGAGAGAGAGAGAGAGAGAGAGAGAGAGAGAGAGAGAGAGAGAGAGAGAGAGAGAGAGAGAGAGAGAGAGAGAGAGAGAGAGAGAGAGAGAGAGAGAGAGAGAGAGAGAGAGAGAGAGAGAGAGAGAGAGAGAGAGAGAGAGAGAGAGAGAGAGAGAGAGAGAGAGAGAGAGAGAGAGAGACATGAAGATAACGCAGTGTCATCAGAGAAGGCCTATGTGTCATCATGGCTGGAGTGAGAAACTACCAACAGTGTCATCTTGTGTCATATTGCCTTCAATCCTGCCAACAATCACCTGTCATCCAAAGATCTACAAGATCTTCCAGCAGTCTCTAGTGCCAACATCTGACACCATGAGGTAATAATGTCCATCTGTGGTCACCAGTGCCACCACTTAAGACACCATACGGTGCCACAGTCCCCTCCCCCATCCTGCCAACAACACTACCAACACCACACACCATGATGCATTAATGCATTTCTTATGTAAATCCTGCTCCCCAACAAATTCCCGCCCTATTACATAATTTACACAAAATACGTTGAAATTGTCATGATTTTGTACTTCGACTCGTAATAGTCACAGAAGAATAACAGCTTGATGGGCTACGGGGCCTCGTAGCCTGGTGGATAGCGCGCAGGACTCGTAATTCTGTGGCGCGGGTTCGATTCCCGCACGAGGCAGAAATAAATGGGCAAAGTTTCTTTCACCCTATGCCCCCTGTTACCTAGCAGTAAATAGGTACCTAGGTGTTAGTCAGCTGTCACGGGCTGCTTCCTGGGGGTGGAGGCCTGGTCGAGGACCGGGCCGCGGGGACACTAAAGCCCCGAAATCATCTCAAGATAACCTCAAGATAACGGTACACTATCACTACTGACGGAGGTACTGCACCAGTACCCCCCCCCCCCGGTACACTATCACTTAGCGTCCCCCCCCCCCCCCGCGGCCTGGTCGAGGACCGGGCCACGGGGACTCTAAGCCCCAAATTCATCTTAAGATAACCTCAAGATCTCAAGATACCGACCCAATCGCTGACCAGGCCTCCTGGTTGGTGATACGCCGCTGCTCGCAGTCTGACTATGAATCACAGCCCGTTGGATCAGGTCTCCTTTGGAGGTATTTATCAAAATTATCTTCTGAACATCTTGGAAGGTCGGCCAGTTGTGCCCCTTATGTGTAGAGGGAGTGAACTTGAGACGGCTGGGATTAACACTTGAGACGGCTGGGATTAACACTTGAGACGGCTGGGATTAACACTTGAGACGGCTGGGATTAACACTTGAGACGGCTGGGATTAACACTTGAGACGGCTGGGATTAACACTTGAGACGGCTGGGATTAACACTTGAGACGACTGGCATTAACCCTTTGTTACTACACCCCGTCATCCACCTAATCCTCCTCATCCACCTAATCCATCCTCCTAACAAATCGTCGCATTCTGACGTATAGTTTAAGGCCAAAAAGTTGACGTACTAGAAAATATTAGCGGCTCGCGAAATTGACACGAATTTACACCGTTATAATAAATTAAAAACATCATTTATTGCAACAATAAATTGATTCAAACACTCGTCAAGTGTTTAATAAATGTAAACACAGCCGCCATGATTAAGAAAAGATGTACTGGTTCCGTAAGCTGTTGCATAAATGCTTAATGAATTCTGGCCCCCCTGGTCGTGGGTAAGAAGCTTTCACACACAACTGTTATGAGTCAGGAAGTGTTGCACGGGGCTATAGGAAGTGTTGCACGGGGCTATAGGAAGTGTTGCACGGGGCTATAGGAAGTGTTGCACGGGGCTATAGGAAGTGTTGCACGGGGCTATAGGAAGTGTTGCACGGGGCTATAGGAAGTGTTGCACGGGGCTATAGGAAGTGTTGCACGGGGCTATAGGAAGTGTTGCACGGGGCTATAGGAAGTGTTGCACGGGGCTATAGGAAGTGTTGCACGGAGCTATAGGAAGTGTTGCACGGGGCTATAGGAAGTGTTGCACGGGGTTATAGGAAGTGTTGCACGGGGCTATAGGAAGTGTTGCACGGGGCTATAGGAAGTGTTGCACGGGGCTATAGGAAGTGTTGCACGGGGCTATAGGAAGTGTTGCACGGGGCTATAGGAAGTGTTGCACGGGGCTATAGGAAGTGTTGCACGGAGCTATAGGAAGTGTTGCACGGGGCTATAGGAAGTGTTGCACGGGGTTATAGGAAGTGTTGCACGGGGCTATAGGAAGTGTTGCACGGGGCTATAGGAAGTGGCTGGCCCAAGTGTAAGCGGCTGCCCCAGTGTAAGCTGTCCACATATTACAGTCCTCTCCACTCCGGTCTTCAGGGGGGCGGCAGTGGTATTCTCTTGTATTATGACCCCAACCACACACCAGAAGATGATGATGTACTGTAATGATGACCCAACCTCTGGTGTGTGGTTCTGCTCATCATATCTTCAGCCACGTTACCGTGACTCATCATCTCTTAATGTAATATCGCCATAAACGTCCCTACGGAGTATTTTCTGCACAACCGAGCGAGCTTAACTACCACAACCGAGCGAGCTTAACTACCACAACCGAGCGAGCTTAACTACCACAACAGAGCGAGCTTAACTACCACAACCGAGCGAGCTTAACTACCACAACCGAGCGAGCTTAACTACCACAACCGAGCGAGCTTAACTACCACAACCGAGCGAGCTTAACTACCACAACAGAGCGAGCTTAACTACCACAACCGAGCGAGCTTAACTACCACAACAGAGCGAGCTTAACTACCACAACCGAGCGAGCTTAACTACCACAACCGAGCGAGCTTAACTACCACAACAGAGCGAGCTTAACTACCACACTCATTATGCCTCACTTGGTCAAGGAATAAGTGAAACTGGAACGGATATTCTGGCGTTAATTTGTGAATTATTTATTTGTAAATTATTGTGTGATAATGATTTTTATGTACTCGTGTTTTATTAACCGAAAGACGCATTTATTATTATTTCACATATGCAGGCGATGAGTCACAATTACGTGGCTAAAGTATGTTGACCAGACCACACACTAGAAGGTGAAGGGACGACGACGTTTCGGTCCGTCCTGGACCATTTTCAAGTCGATCTCATCAACTTGAGAATGGTCCAGGACGGACCGAAACGTCGTCGTCCCTTCACCTTCTAGTGTGTGTGGTCTGGTCAATATTTCACATAAATACATATATGGCAGTGTCACCTCTGGCTGGAAGAAGGGGGACCCTTAGCCTCGGAGGAAACCACACATAGCACATTAAAGGGAATGTTTAGATCCTCTCCAATACTGTTTCTGTGTGCTTTTCTCCTACCACCCCCATCCTTTCGTGTTTTTTGTGCTTTATTGTGTATTTAACGGTTACAAGATATACATGAGTTGATACAAAAGTGCTAGAGAATCTTGTATGGCTCATATGTAGAGTATATATATATATATATATATATATATATATATATATATATATATATATATATATATATATATATACTCTACATATGAGCCATACAAGATTCTCTAGTACTTTTTGCTAGAGAATTAAAATCACTTTTTCTCTCTATATATAGCAGAGAAACTGATATATATATATATATATATATATATATATATATATATATATATATATATATATATATATATATATATATATATCGTGCTAAGGAGTATCTTGCTAGTTCCGTGATTACTAATCAGAGCTGCATAGCACCGTTAGGAGGGCTATCTTGAGGTTATCTTGAGATGATTTCGGGGCCTTTTTTTTTTAGTGTCCCCGCGGCCCGGTCCTCGACCAGGCCTCCACCCCCAGGAAGCAGCCCGTGACAGCTGACTAACACCCAGGTACCTATTTTACTGCTAGGTAACAGGGGCCCGGGATCGAATCCGGGACCACAGGATCACAAGTCCAGTGTGCTGTCCGCTCGGCCGACCAGCTTGGTGGAGTTGGAACCTGATATGTTAATCTAAGTTTAGCGATGGAGGGGTTGGTTATAATTGGCAAGAAGTAATTCTGCTGGAATTAAATTCGATTTCATAAGCTGTTATCTTTATAGGTTGACTTGGCGAAGCACGGTACCTGCTTGGTAAACAATTCAAGTGTGTCTTCTGCAAAGTTTGAGTGTCAGGTTTAAGGGGCACGATGGCTGGGTTACCTTGAGGGTTACCTTGAGATGATGTCGGGGCTTAGCGTCCCCGCGGCCCGGTCCTCGCCCAGGCCAGGCCTGGGTGTGGAGGAAGGGTGTACAGTCAGGATGACAAGGAATATAGGAAGAAGGGTAACGTAAAGACAATTACATAATAAGCTTGAGGAGTTAGAGGACTGACCTTAGAGGCTCTGGCGGTGCGCCCCGAGCCAGTCTTGTACCCAGAGAGCACCTGCAGGAAGTCGTAGGACGTGTGTGTTGGCAGGGCGTTCCTGCGGCCGTACACGCCTATGGAGGAGCCCCGGGGGATAGCCACGTCGAACCTGACGTAGGCTGACTCGGACTGATAGAACTGCATGTTCCAGTAACCATAGGGAGGGATGACGTCCATCAGCTGCTCTCCCAGCTCCATCATCTTGAAGGTGGTTCCGTCAGGAGGTATCGTCTTCTGCGGCCGGTTCTTGTGGTCTGAAATGGTCGTGTAAATACCGCTAATGAGATCACAGAGAGCCAAAAGATCGGTGAAATAACCTATTCCTTATGATGCTAATATGGTCCAATATATATATAAACGCATTTAGAGAGAAATCATTGACACGTGATTTGCAGAAGTTCCATTTTGACTTAACGAGGGAGACACTTTACACAGGTGACAAAGGCCAACATTAAACTAACGTTTATACAGAAGAAGCAACAGTTCATCGTAGAAAATTATGATAAAATTTTTTTTTTGACAGATTACCATCTACAAACTGAAATTTAGGATATAAACGTTTAGAGGCTAACATTCAAATACTAAAATTCAGTCCAGTGATTAGCGTTAAAGGTTCGCATCCCCTGGCGGCCAAGTTTGTGACTACGACAGTCTCTCCCCCAACCATAGTTTTTTATTAGTGAGCGAGAGCGCGGCCATAGACTGGTGCGCGCCCTCAGACAACCTCCTCCCAAGTTTTAATAGGTGTTTGTTCTCCGGGAATCTTCCACGGGGGTATCGCGATCAAGCCACAGTCATTAAGAATATAAATAGCACGATGTTTTTTTTTATTAAAGTGTAGGAGAGGAGGAACGGGGGGGGGGGGGGGGGGAATGGTATAAATAAGATGCTACAGTAATAGGATATTAACATTTTTGGGTAAGAGAAAACGGCGTGTATGTAGACCGTTTCACCGAGAGGTTTACTGCTTGTGAATATACAGTTTACCTTAGTTCTTAGTTTACCTTACCAACACTAAACTAACCCTTGAGCCTAACCATCTGACCGTCGGGGATTGAACGCCGACTTCAAGAAGCGAAACTATCGTCCCAACCGACTAAGTCATAACTTAACAATTAGCAACCAATGTGGAAGGTAATTATGAAGTAATGACTGTCATTATTGCATCAACTAGAGAACAACGTCGTGAGGAGGGGGGGGGGGAAGGGGGGGGGGAGAGGGGAGGGGGGAAGGGGGGGAAGGGGGGGAGGGGAGGGAGGGGGGTGGAACGAACATGACTTGATACATAAAGTAACTTAGATCATGAGGTTCACATCCCGTCATCCAACAGCCTGGTTGACCAGTCCAGCAACGAAGAGGCCTGGTCGACGACCGGGCCGTCGGGGTCGCTGAGCCCCGAAATCACCTCAAGGTAACCCTGGTGGCTGTGGTGACACGACACAGACAGGATGACACAGAGACAGACAGACAGACAGACAGAAAGAAACAGGGACAAAGAGAGACAGCAAGAGAAAGATACATACAGAGACACAAGGAGAGACTAGGAGATAAAAATAGAGTTAAAAAGAGACAGAAAAAGAGAGAAAAAGAGAGAAAAAGAGAGAAAGAGACAGAAAAAGAAACAGAGTCCAGGAAAGAGACAGACGAACAAGTTCGATATCACACCAACAGCATACACACACACACACACACACACACACACACACACACAAGTATTGGTCAGTTGACGGTAATCTTTCCAAACGTGTTTAGACAGGCAAGTTTAGGGGAACGCCAGACGAAAGCCCGTCCAGGAGATAGTCAGTCAAATTTGCGCAAGCAAGTTTTCCATGGAAAAAGATATAAATACCAGAGAATTACAACTTTAAGGTCACAAAACTGTCAAGATGAAGACGAAACAAAAAATACTAACCCCATGAATATATTAAAAGGTCAAAATATATTAAAAAAAATTTAATTACCGTAATTACCGTAAATTATCGTGAAATTTTGATTATTATTACTGTTATGACATTTAATAATCATTTATTATTTGTATATTTTAGTTTATTTTCAATTTTAATACGTGCAAGAACAACACAGCTTCCATGGTTGTGCTTGTACCAAATTATAGGAAGCATGAAGTGATGATGAAGGAGAGAGAGAGAGAGAGAGAGAGAGAGAGAGAGAGGGGGGGGGGGAGACAGAGAGAGAGAGAGAGAGAGAGAGAGAGAGAGAGAGAGAGAGAGAGAGAGAGAGAGAGAGAGAGAGAGATGGCATCTGGACTCCATTCTTGGCCTGTGAGTTATGGTGGCATTTGTTACCATTATTACTCTGGGCCAGAGGTCCGCCGACCCAAAAATGATGTGCTCCTCTGTAAACAAGCTGAAATGAGTCGGCCTGATGTAAGGCGCTTCCCACAGCCACTCCTGCCAGCTCCTGCTAGGACCTGCCTGCACGCACACACACGCAAGCACGCACGCAAGCACGCGCACACACACACAGGTGGAAATTGAGTGCCCAAATGAGCCATAGAGACGTTAGAAAGAATTTTTTCAGTGTCAGAGTAGTAAGACAAATGGAATGCACTAGGAAGTGATGTGGTGGAGGGTGACTCCATACACAGCTTCAAGGTAGATATGATAGAGCCCAATAGGCTCAGGAACCTGTACACCAGTTGATTGACAGTTGAGGGGCGGGACCAAAGAGCCAGAGCTCAACCCCCGCAAACACAACTAGGTGAATACACACATACACACATTAGAAAGAACTTTTTTCGTGTCAGAGTAGTTAACGAATGCAATGCATTAGACAGTGATGTGGTGGTTATCTTGTGCAATAAACAGCTGATTTTTATAAACACTCTATGGACAATCAACCCCACATTTCAATCTTTATAGGGGTCGTCGATTGTCGACATAGGATCCAATCCTTCTTAAGGAGGGGTATGGGGGTCGATTCTAACCTCCCCATGACACTCCAGACGATCTCTATTCACCATGGAAGGTTGTGTGAAGCCGACCATAACTGGCAGGCCTCCAACCTTTCACAGACAGACAGACAGACAGACTGACAGAGACAGACAGACAAACAGACAGACAGACATTGTCTTATATAGATATAGGTTTTTAATTATAAATTAGGTACCAAGGAGCGGCGTAGAGGGCCCGCTGGGACGGAAATTGATGAATTAATTTGTCTGTATGGAGACATATATCACACAACAAAGCCATGGACCAGGTGCCAGTGTTCCTGCTGGGAAGAGGAGGAGGAATTGATGACGGGAGGGGAGGGAGGGGAAGAGGGACGGGAAAAAATGGGAAGGTGGCAAGGGAGGGAGGGAGAGGAAGAGAGAACAGAAGGGAAGGGAAGGGAAGGAAGAGGCGAGGGTAAAACAGTAGTGCCAGAGAAGGAAACAGGAAGAGACAGAGACATGAATGGAAAAGTAGATAAGAAGTAAGGAAATGGTAATTAAGGGAAAATAAATAACTGACGAAGTACGAGATGACAGGAAGGTTAATACACGGATAGATGAAGGATGCGGTGGGGCAGGGTATGGGGTTCGAACCTGACATATGGGGTTGGAACCTGACATATGGAGTTGGAACCTGACATATGGGGTTGGAACCTGACATATGGAGTTGGAACCTGACATATGGGGTTGGAACCTGATATATGGAGTTGGAACCTGACATATGGGGTTGGAACCTGACATATGGAGTTGGAACCTGACATATGGGGTTGGAACCTGATATATGGAGTTGGAACCTGACATATGGGGTTGGAACCTGACATATGGAGTTGGAACCTGACATATGGGGTTGGAACCTGACATATGGGGTTGGAACCTGACATATGGAGTTGGAACCTGACATATGGAGTTGGAACCTGACATATGGAGTTGGAACCTGACATATGGAGTTGGAACCTGACATATGGAGTTGGAACCTGACATATGGAGTTGGAACCTGACATATGGAGTTGGAACCTGACATATGGAGTTGGAACCTGACATATGGAGTTGGAACCTGACATATGGAGTTGGAACCTGACATATGGAGTTGGAACCTGACATATGGGGTTGGAACCTGATATATGGAGTTGGAACCTGACATATGGAGTTGGAACCTGACATATGGAGTTGGAACCTGACATATGGAGTTGGAACCTGACATATGGAGTTGGAACCTGACATATGGAGTTGGAACCTGACATATGGAGTTGGAACCTAATATATAAAGTTTGAGCTTGACACATAGTATTTGTGGACAAAGGAATCCAATCTAGAGTGGAATATAGTTCTTCATTGTTATATATTTTATAATTTTAATTACCCGGTAACCTAATATTTTTTTTTATAATCATATACTTCTCCTCAAGTGCATCTCTCCATTGTGGTTTCTCCTAATATGTCTTGGACACAAAAACTTTCAAGGAGAATTTTCTCATAAAATCTTAATTTGAACAGGTTATCTTGAGGTTATCTTGGTACTGAGAGATACAGACACTACCCAAAAGTTAGGGACTGACAGACCTGTTCTAAGACACATTGAAAGAACCAGTTGTAACGAATTTACCTCGACATTTCTTAGAAAAAAAAATCGAATTATATAAAAATATAAAACTACTTGTTTTTCTTAGGGACATGTTGCTTTCCGTTGACTTAATCTGTGAGTGAGGAGCCCTGGCGGAGGCCTCCAGGTCACCACGTTGACTTAATCTGTGAGTGAGGAGCCCTGGCGGAGGCCTCCAGGTCACCACGTTGACTTAAACTGTGAGTGAGGAGCCCTGGCGGAGGCCTCCAGGTCACCACGTTGACTTAATCTGTGAGTGAGGAGCCCTGGCGGAGGCCTCCAGGTCACCACGTTGACTTAATCTGTGAGTGAGGAGCCCTGGCGGAGGCCTCCAGGTCACCACGTTGACTTAATCTGTGAGTGAGGAGCCCTGGCGGAGGCCTCCAGGTCACCACAAGTGACAGCATCAATCTGTGAGTGAGGAGCCCTGGCGGAGGCCTCCAGGTCACCACAAGTGACAGCATCAATCTGTGAGTGAGGAGCCCTGGCGGAGGCCTCCAGGTCACCACAAGTGACAGCATCACAACCACAACCTTCATCAACTCCGCTTCACAACTAACACGTCCCAATGTGTACGTTATGGCCTCCAACGTACGAATTACAAAGTACCATGACAAGCAGCGGCTCACAAATACCCCGTTTTCTATACATCGGTAGATTAAGTTAAGGCCGGTGGCTTGGGCCTGTAGGTTTCTAGTGAGGTTAACACGTTGTATTTTGTACGTTGGGGCAATTCAAGAGAACGGGGTGGCTAGAACCCTTTCAACCTGGAGAACTCCTCCAGCAGCATCTCCGACCTGCTTACCGGACTCCTGTAGAGGTGCCTACAAGTTCCATCAAACCACTTACGTGTATTAACAAAACTGAAATCTGCAATTAAAAGCATAAAAAAGGTTGGCTGTTATTACACGGAGAAATGCTACGACAAAGACATGCATGCAGTGATGTGTCAAAGGTTTAATAAACTATAAGCTACAATCAGATTACATTCAAAATTAATGTTAATTACGATATAAACTAAAGAAAAAATGGAAACTGAACTAAAAATCATTAGCAATATGCAAAAACAGGCAATAAATTAAATCCAAGCTTTTTTTTTTACATGCTAAAAACAAAAAAACAAAAAAACGAAAAAAAAATATTATGACTTACAATTAAAATCTGCGCTTAACGAGAGGGAAATGGAGCAGATACCTTCTACTGCCGGAGTAAAGGCCATTGAAATTGTAATTAATTTTGTTAATAATAAATAAATTGTAATTTATTATAGTCAATAAAAAATAATTGAGGTGCGGAGAACCAGTGACTTTTCCCCTGCTCCATACACTACCACACACCCCTCATACACTACCACACACCCCCTCATACACTACCACACACCCCCTCATACACTACCACACACCCCCTCATACACTACCACACACCCCCTCATATACTACAACCCATTCTCGCAAATTTAATAAGTCAATATTGACTTATTAGTTGCGTGCATAGGTGACATACTAAACATAATAGTTTCCCTTGAAAAGCTTCATAGAAAACACCGACCTTACCTAACCTACTTAGTATGTTAAAATAAGCACCTTATAGCTTCGTAATTACAATTGTTACTTAACCTATTATAGGTATAGGTTAGGTAATAATTGTAATTACGAAGCAATAAGATGCTTATCTTAACATACTAAGTAGGTTAGGTAAGGTCGGTGTTTTCTATGAAGCTTTTTAAGGGAAACTATTATGTTAAGTATGTCACCTATGCACATATTTAATAAGTCAATATTGACTTATTAAATTTGCGAGAACGGGTTGTACACTACCACACACCCCTCAAACACTACCACATACCCCTCATACACTACCACACACCCCCTCATACACTACCACACACCCCCTCATACACTACCACACACCCCTCATACACCTGCCTCGCTCAACATGAGCAACACTACAGGTTGCTAGCCGCCTGCTGCGTCTCTCCACGAGCAGGTCAATATCTTGCACAAAGGTCACATCACTCGACAACATTTAAGAAGGGTGTTGATTACTTCCGGGCTACAGCCGAGTACTCTGGGGCTACAGTGTTGGGGTACAGTGTTCGGCTACAGTGTTGGGCTACAGCCGAGTACACTGAGGCTACAGTGTGGGCTACAGCCGAGTACTGTGGGATTACAGTGTTGGGTTACAGTGTGGACTACAGCCGGGTACTCTTTGGGCTACAACCGCGTACACTGGGTTACAGGCGAGTACAGATCAACTTACAGGACAGCGACAAATTCTCCTAAACGCGACTGAAGCACCATTCTCATTTTAAAGATAACTTGTAATAACCCCCATTAAACCTGCGCCATCTTTAATTAACGATTTGTTTCCCAAGTTTCCAAATAGTTAATAAATATATATATCACATCTCTCAATGGCCCTTACCTAACGGCGGATTAGTAATTAGTTCAGGTTCCATTATGGGGAGAACGAGCAAGATTGATCTCACCTTCCAGTTCATCCACCAGCCGTGACGGCAGTGGAGGAGCGGGGGTGGTGGAGGGAGGAGAGGCCTCTAGTACACAGCCTTTAGGGACTAGGGTTGGTGAATCAGGGTCGGGAGAGGAGGGAGAGCCCGCATCACTGCCCTCACCACCTGGACTGTCTAACGTATCTGGGAGGAAATTAGGAGGAATGGGAATGGAGTTAGTGTGTGAGTTAGTGTTGTTACTGTTACAAGGGCAGGGGCAGTGGCACCGGTTGGCCTCGTTAGGGTTGGAAGCCAGCAAGCCGGCGACGCCCACAGGAGGAAGCTGGTCTGAGCCTATTGACTGAATACGTTCCATGGGATTATCATTCTGCTTGTTGATCTCGAGCGTCCTGTTACCGAGAATGGTGAGGGATAAAGAAGCAATTTGTTGCTGTTCGTCTGGCTCGACCAGTGTGATGTCTGCCTCTTGGTCTTTACCCGAGGTTGGCACCGAGACTGACAGGACGTACAAGGGTTTCTTGGGCGTACTGCTTCCGCTAGACGTCTGAGATCCGTCCTCTGTCTCAATAGTAACGTTGACAGTTACTCGCTTCGAGTGTCTCGAGTTTGTCTGAGGCAGGTGTCTTTGGTCGGACACCTGAGGTGACCTGTTTGCACGATGGATCAACATGGCGTCCTCCTGAGAGCTCGCATCCTTCCCTCTGGAACTGTGCTCTACGGAAGTCTTGGGCTCCCTAGACTGCTCCTGAGCAGGATATATGGGATTATCGGATTTCTCGACAACAGCTTCCCATTCTCCGTCTGTGCTGATCTGCTCACTCGCCTTTGCCTGAGAACTCCATCCAGTTGCCGACGATGCTTCCTCGTGTAGGGACGTCGTCCAACTCACGGTCTGGTTTACATTATTATGGTGTCGGGGATCAATCGGTGGGCCAGACGCTGCCTGCTGCGAGGGCGGCCAGAACTCTGTCAATACGGGGTCGCTTGGGTCCACCTCGGGGTCACTTGGCTCCTCTGTCGTCTTTGATGGATTTTGTTCCGTTTTGTGCATGAGAAATTTGGGAATCTTTCTGTTCGGGTCATTCCGATGAGAAAGATCTGAAGAGCGGGGTGGTTGAAGTGTACTGAAGATCGAAGACTCTTGCAATGGAGGTCGTGTAGGCAGGAACTTGGCAGCTTGAAGAGGAACAGAGGCTTTAGGTGGTACTTGTGACGAAGCAAAGAATGGGGAAGGTATGGGAGTGGGCGGCAGCTTTGTGGTAGTAGCAGGGGAAGGAACTGGGGCCCGAGTTGACGGCACACTGGTGGTGGTTTCTACAACTCTCTCAGTGGTTGTGTCTTCCCTTCTTCCTTGCTTGCTACTGGTAGGCGAGTAATTCGGCCCAGTTTCAAAAGAAACAGAGCCTGGCCTTGAGTAGAGTGGTACAACCTCTATCTCCACTACCTCAGCATCTCCCTCGGGAAGCATCTTCAACTGAGGTTCAGGGACTGCGATGTGGAACTCCTCCTTCGTGAGGGACATTGCCCTCAGCCCCGGCGGGTACTGAGTGGCACTGATGGGGACACTGGTAGTAGGCTGAGCCTGCAGGCGCTCTGGCATAGAGTTGAGCGTCACGATAGTCTTAGGGTCTCGATAACCCGCCTTGACCTCACCTATGTCATCTTCCGCGTTGAGAATCACGTCGTCCGACTCATCATCGTCAGGTACATCTTCAAAGACAGCTTTCTTTTTCTTCGCGCGACGAATTTTTTCGGTATAATCGTCGACATAAAAGTAGTTTGTGTCGTCGTCATAGTAATATTCGTCGTGATCATTGAGGTCGTACTCAAAAATATGTGGAAACACATCTATTGCCATTTTGGAGCCTTTGTAAGAGTCGGTCTCCTCGTCGTCATCTTCATAGACGTATTCTGGAGACTTGGTCTGGTCCTGGATGTGTGGCACCCCCATTGACTCCAAGATCTTGGAAGGAAAACTGCTAGGGTCTGACTGGGGAATAGGACCTCCCTGTGGGTCATTTGGATCAAAAGAAGAGCTTCCGTCACTATAACCATCTGCCGCTGACCGTCTTGTAAGTCTTCCTGACGCATCTTCTGACGACTCAATGAGGTCCGGGTCATCGTCAATGAGTCTCCTTACTGATGGTGAACCTTCTTCTCCAGGACCGCCAGATTCTTCTGCACTTTGTATATTTTCTAACCCATACCTTGAGAACCAAGTGTCGACCGTTGAACTGACTCTGTGTGTATTAACCTTGCTGGTCTGCAATAAAATAGTTTTCTTAGTATCATGAGCTCCTGACTCTGCCGGCCTGGTGAACCACGTAGCGCCAGGCACGATAGTGTTCCCCAACTCCTTTGAGTCTGCCGAGTGTGCCTTATCCTCTCCGGGCGATTGCGAGCTGGGCTCGTGAGCCGTGTACGTCTCTAGTGTGGGGAATGATGCCATCCATGATCTAAGGGGTATATTGCGACGCTTTGGCTTCACCTTGTCATTATCAGTGTTTGGAGGAGCAAGAAAGCCACCCATTACCTTAGCCGAGTATGTTGACGGGTCGCCACCTAACAAGTCGTCAGGGGCCACGTTGGCATGGGGAGACAGGAGACGCTTACGCCGGGTGTTATTACTCATGTTACCCACAAATAGGTCGCCAGGAATGGCCTCGTATGCTTGAGGGTAATGTGTGGGGGATGACCCTAGAGACTCGATGTCCTGCTCGTACTCGATATGTCTGGCATCGTCAGTCTCAGGGTTATGGCCATACTCATAGTCTACTGCAGACTCGACCTCTTCAGCTTCCTCCTCGCTACCGACGTCAGCAGACGGGCTGTAGTTATCCCCACCGTCATAAGCGATCACAGTGTTGGGATTATCATATGCTTCATCCACCTCTACACCATCACCCGCACTGTCGACACCATCGCTCTCGGGCAACTCACTTCCAGCCTCGCCATCAGAATATTCAACAACATCAATTATTGGGTCGAAAACATCGTCCGCTGCGTCTGATATCTCATGCAAGATTTTGCCGTGCCTGTCAGTGGACGTGTCATCGCCAGCCACGCTGAGGTCTGCCCACTTTTCAGGCATCTTAAATTGCTCACTGCCTTTTACTCCAGCCGGCCTCTCTTCACCGCTGACGTCCTCCGACACCCGAACATGCGAGGCGACGTTCACCTTAACAAATCCCCAACTTGAGTCTAGTTGGCGTTCCACAAACTTTAGCGAGGATTCTCGTTGGAATTTTTTGTCATTAGAGGGAGTGTGTGAAGGACCTAAAGCCAAATGATCTAGTTGGTGAGGGAAATGCAATGGAGTGGGACTTGAACCACCTGGAACAGCATTTACAGAGATGATATCAACGGTGTCATGCCCCACCGAGCCAGGTGAACTGGGGCCAGATGTAACGCCCTGGGAACGAGACGGACTGTTCGTGTTTTCTGACTGGTGACTTTCAGTGTTTTGAGTGGTGGTGGAATGTGTCTGGGCCGGAGGTGGGGGAGACTGAGTGACTGGGGATGAAGACTGGGGATCGGAGTTGACGTGTGTTGGGGAGGGAGTGTGTGTTGGGGAGGGAGTGTCAGAATCCGGAGTGGTGGGGAAGTGTGAGTCAGGGCCGCGGGAGGTCGCTACTGCAGGAGAGACAGCTATTGGCTGATCTTCGTCAGGAGGTTCGGGAGTGAGACTAGGGTTGGTAGTGGAGGTTGTACCGGGGTCAGCAGTAGTGGTGGTAGTACTGGGGTGACTGGGAGGGAGAGGGGTGGAGGGTGAGTGTGGCGGGTGAGTGCCCATGCTGGCGGGTAGTAACTCATGCGACACACTCCTACGCATGCGTCGGGGCGGGCTACTCGACCCCGGGGGCACTAGCGCGCCCTCTCGGATGTTCTCATAAACAAGGAACATCTGCGGACGGAGGTCCACCGGGGAGGGCTGGTGTCGAGCATGTTGCAGATGGTGACGAGGGTAGTGGAAGGGGTTACCTCTAGAGGCGGCCTGGCCGGGTAGAGCCTCGTCAGAGATGACGGCAGGGTCGTCGACCAACACCGCGCAGCCCCCGTGCGCCGACCACGCCAGGCTGCTCGTGGCTGTAAAGTAAAGACAAGGCGATTAGCCTCACACACGATAGTATATATACACGCTTTACACATCATTATAGAGGTACAGAGGCTTTACACACCATTATAGAGGTACAGAGGCTTCACACACACCATTACAAAGGTACAGAGGCTTTACTTACCATTATAAAGGTACACACAGGCTTCACACACTATTACAAAGGTACTCATCAGGCATTACACACTATTGTAAAAGTGTTTTTTACACCGCATAAATCACCACATATGATACAGATAATCAGAGAAAATTAAAAACAAAATAGTGACTGGATCCACCCCAAGTTAGGCGCTGAAATCACATAGGATATTCAGCGCTCGATGTAAAGAGAAGTATAAAGAGATGCCATAGATGGAAACGGGAAACATAGATGAGTCAAAGATCTCAGCGGCTCGCTAAACGTGTGAGAGATTAAGATGGGGGGTCGAGCCGGACGAGGAAGAGACCTGGCTCAAAATAATGCACAAACCAAAACATTCAAATTAAATTCTTGGAGAATAAAATGCCCCAGTGCCCCGCTCCCACAGTGCCCCGCCATCACCACAGTGCCCCGCCACCACAGTGCCCCGCCATCACAGTGCCCCACCACCACCACAGTGCCCCGCCACCACAGTGCCCCACCATCACAGTGCCCCGCCACCACCACAGTGCCCCACCATCACAGTGCCCCACTCCCACAGTGCCCCGCCACCACCACAGTGCCCCGCCATCACAGTGCCCCACTCCCACAGTGCCCCGCTCCCACAGTGCCCCGCTCCCACAGTGCCCCGCTCCCACAGTGCCCCGCTCCCACAGTGCCCCGCTCCCACAGTGCCCCGCCATCACAGTGCCCCACCACCACCACAGTGCCCCGCCATCACAGTGCCCCACCACCACCACAGTACCCCGCCACCACAGTGCCCCACCATCACAGTGCCCCGCCACCACCACAGTGTCCCACCATCACAGTGCCCCGCCACCACAGTGCCCCGCCGCCACCACAGTGCCCCGCCGCCACCACAGTGCCCCGCTCTCACCAAACTAATCGTGTGTTCGTCATGTGAGGCTAATAATAAGCTATTTATATGCAACGGCCGCCATAATACTCCGTTATGCAGGAGCGACGCACAAGGATTTTGCCAGCAACTAATGTGCAATTTGCGGGTTTTCACACCTTTCCTCACCCCTCCCTCCCCTTTCCCTTCCCCTCGGTCACTGTCCCCTCCCGTCACCCCTCCATCTTCCTCCCCTCGGTCACTATCCCCTCCCCTCACCCCTCCACCTTCCTTCCCTCGGTCACTGTCCCCTCCCCTCACCCCTCCATCTTCCTCCCCTCGGTCACTATCCCCTCCCCTCACCCCTCCATCTTCCTCCCCTCGGTCACTGTCCCCTCCCGTCACCCCTCCATCTTCCTCCCCCTCGGTCACTATCCCCTCCCCTCACCCCTCCACCTTCCTCCCCTCAGTCACTATCACCTTAACCTGCATGCTACTATCAGTAACGAGTCAGAAAAATACGCGAGTATCGCGGTATTCGTAGAAATGTTCATAAATTTGCAGCAAAAAAAAAAAATGTAAATAAAATGCGTTTTCGACCTGACGAGCCTTGTTAACTATGCTAAGTTGAGCGGCTCTGGCTACCAAGCAACACACACACAGCTCCAGCGCCTCAGTGTCGCGATCCAGAGAGGAAATGCTTGCTGTATCTTGGGTTCTCACCCCCACTTCCGAAGAGTTGGATAAGGTCTTTGAACAGTGATTACTGTGTGTGTGTGTGTGTGTGTGTGTGTGTGTGTGTGTTTCTAAACTGTAACACAATACAATGCACTAAGTCCAATAAATCAATATACAACAGAAAAAATATTGGATAAAATACTAAAGAAAAATGTAAGGGTGGTAGACGAAAATACTCAAATGTGCAGGGATAATCCACAAGGTGCTATCTGAATACCCTTTATTCTCTTCTCCGAGGCTGTGGGTCCATACAATTGCACCATAGGCGGTAACCCTATCATTATATATATATATATATATATATATATATATATATATATATATATATATATATATATATATATATATATATGCTACCTTGGAAGGATGGTAAGCAAGTGGTATGGGACTACACGTGCGCTGCCACACTGGCCAGTACCTTCCTCCACTACAGCACACGTGAAAGCGGTGGTGCTGCTTGTTTCAGGGAATCGCAGAAAATTATTAAATACAGAGGTCTAGCACACTGCTACAGCTTTGTTCCGATCGGCTCGGAGACCCTCGGTTCGTGGGGAAAATGTGCATTGAAGTTCCTGAAGGAATTGGGGGACAAATTGATCAGCGCTACAAAAGACCAGAGAGCAAAAAGTTTCTTGTTCCAGCGCCTCAGTGTTGCGATTCAGAGGGGAAATGCCTGTTGCGTCTTGGGCACTAGTCCAACTTCAGAGGAATTCGAAGAAGTGTTTGACTTGCAACAATGATCGAACCCGTCTGTGACATTCATCAATGTTTCCCATTGTTGTGTTTTTCAAGAGATCCATAACCTTTAAGCACCTTTTTGCATTATTATTTTTGTATCAACCCATGTATATCTTGTAACCATCAAATGCATAATAAAGCACAAAAAATAAAAAAGGAAGGGGGTGGTAGGAGAAAAGCACACAGAAACTGTATTGGAGGGGATCTAAACATTCCCTCTAATGCGTTATGCGTGGTTTCTTCCGAGGCTATGGGTCCCCCTTCTTCCAGCCAGAGGTGGTACTCCCTATATATATATATATATATATATATATATATATATATATATATATATATATATATATATATATATATATATATATATATATATATATATATATATATATATATATATATATATATATATATATATATATATATATATATATATATATATATATATATATATATATATATATATATATATATATTGAAAAGTGTTACAAAGGTGGTGACTAAGAGGGTAATGGGGAAGCAGGGAAGGTTAAGAGGTCCCTGGAGGGTAGTGAGGGGAAGTGTGATGCTGAACCCTTTAACTCTCCCCTCTTGTACCTTCACGATGACCCAAGGAGAGGAAGGTGGGGGAGGGGGCCATGTGTGGCTCTTTGATGTACCTTTAATATGATATTCAAGAAACTCTCGTGCTATTTCCAGTCTTGACGAAATTTATATTACACACACACGCACGCACGCACGCACGCACACGCACACACACACACACACACACACACACACACACACACACACACACACACACACACACACACACAAACACACACACACACACACACACCAAGGAGACAAATCTTCGTTAATGTGGTGGTGCCTTGAAGGGGGGCAATTGATTTAAGATGAAACACCTTTACAGGTCTTCCCAAAGACAGAAAATGTCTCCCACCCTGTGTAGCCAACAGCTTGTCTCTCTCTCTCCACCCATCCCATTACCCTCCCACCACTCTTACCATCCCCCCCCCCCTCTCACCCTCCTTCCCACTTGCCGGTTCCACCCACTTGACGATCAAACACACACACAAACACACACACTGCGGCTCTGACGTCACCACCGCGAAATCCGAAATGTTACGCGGAGCCGCGGGAACAAAGTGTAATACGCCGTCGCCCGCACTTTAGGGACTGGGCCGAGTACCCCACTCCCAGCCTCAAACACCTTTCACCACTAATTATAAAAACATCACATCCAAAACGAGGCGAGATCCTTCATGGTGCGAGAGAGTGTGTGTCCCGGACCATAGACAAAAAAACCCTCACTCAACTCAGACATCAAATACAACAAGGTTTTTTTTTTCCAGCAGAAAGCTTTTGAACTTGGGAATATAAATATATATTTATAAATGTATACATATACACACACACACAGAGGCATTTGTGAAGGCGTCTTGAAGTCGTAAGCAGCGTGGATGGTTCTCCAAGTGTCTGGGCATCACAGGAGACGACTTGCTGGGGGCTCATCTGGGTCTTCGAACTGCTTGCTGCTCCTGGAGACCACTCGTCCTGTCTCAAATTCTTATCCTGACCCCTTCCAAGTGCTATGTAGTCGGAATGGCTTGGCGCTTTCTCTTGATAATTCCCTCCCTCCTAGAGACCTCACTATCTCACCGGAAGATAAACGTAAACTTTATAAGGAAAACTAAAGAAATAATATAATAACGAAAGAGGAGAATGATAACGAAAACTAACAGATTTTTATTGTCGATAACACATCCGATTCTGGATAGACTGATAAATCTTCTGATAAATTTGATAAATTTGATAAATTTGATAAATTTCCTAAATCTGATAAATTTCCTTGTGTCGTATTATTTGCGGTCCAGACCTCGTGGTCCAGAGAGAGACCGTGGGTTGGAATATTCTTAATTTTGAGCAGACCACACACTAGAAAGTGAAGGGACGACGACGACGTTTCGGTCCGTCCTGGACCATTCTCAAGTCGTCGATTCCACAATCGACTTGAGAATGGTCCAGGACGGGCCGAAACGTCGTCGTCCCTTCACTTTCTAGTGTGTGGCCTGGTCAACATACTTCAGCCACGGTATTGAGACTCGTCGCCTGCATACGGAATATTCTTAGCCTGTCTTCAACCGACTGGGCCTAAACAACACAAAAAGGTGGGTTCTCAACCCAAACCCAACTGGCCTTTGGGTCCCCTGCAACCCGCAATACCCAGACAGCAGGAGGCTGTGTAATCAGGAAGATGAACTGCATTTGTACGTAATGCTTCCTAAATGCATGATGACCACACACACGCTTCACTAATGACACAGGAGCTGCATGTTATGGTTCACTAATGATACAGGAGCCACATGTCTCCTAATGATACAGGAGATAATGATAATTAGTGTTCACTAATGATACAGAAGCCACATGTTATGGTTCACTAATGACACAGGAGCCACATGTTATGGTTCACTAATGATACAGAAGCCACATGTTATGGTTCACTAATGATACAGAAGCCACATGTTATGGTTCACTAATGACACAGGAGCCACATGTTATAATTCACTAATGACACAGGAGCCACATGTAATGTGAAAGGTAATATGACACTCTTATAGCTTCCAGAAATCAACAAGCCGAGGCAAATTACAAAAAAATTACATTCTACTGTCTAGTTTAGAAATTACTTTAAAGCCAACGTTTCTAAACAGATTTTTCTTGATTATTTGAGTTCCAAAAAGTCGACGGACGGGCAAAGGACATGGAGGAAGATATGAGAGAGAGAGAGAGAGAGAGAGAGAGAGAGAGAGAGAGAGAGAGAGAGAGAGAGAGAGAGAGAGAGAGAGAGAGAGAGAGAGAGAGAGAGAGAGAGAGAGAGAGAGAGAGAGAGAGAGTGAGTTAGAGAGAGAGTTAGAGAGAGAGAGAGAGAGAGAGAGCAACCGGAGACACAAGCCAGAGTAAGGTAGCCAACATAGCTTATTTCACGGTTGACGCGCGCTCACTCCCCCCCCCCCCCTACCACTGCACCGGGCCTTTTTAACGATAATTTGGTCTTGCCGGATGGGTGAGGCAGCTGGTGATCTGGGCCGGCCTGGAGGAGATGGGTTACAAGGCTTACAACCGGTGCATCGTCGCTCTCTGCTCCTCCACAACTTGTTGTACAGTATGGAAGCATTTGTATGTCTGTGTATGATCTATTCCACCGGTGTATATAGGTGCACTGGTAAGGTTCATTGCAGGATGTATAGTGAGTTGTTTGGAGAGTGCGAAATGTATTTTCTGGATGTATTACATGTTGTATGTACAAGTGAGATGTATTGCCGGTGTATTAGGACCCTATGGACATTATTAATACCACGAAAACCGGTACTGTACTTCCTTAGCTCGTTCCTTAAAACAAGAAAAATCTGCAGAATTCGTTCATCTATCCCCCCCATTTCTCTGCTAAAAATTTGAAAATTGAAACTCGAATCTTAAAATCTCCAATCAAAACAGACTGGGGTGCCTTGATAACCGCGTCGCACATAAAAGCTGCCTCCTTCGTCAAGTGATCCACTCCCACACGGATCACAAAATTAGCATATTATTTTTCCAATATCAATCGGGACGCGTCATCCCCATAGCCCGCGAGAACGCCACCCCAGAGATACGGGGCTTGGGCGGCGGGCGACCGTCTACCGTGAAATGAGGGAGGTTTGTGGGCGGAGGGTGAGAGCGGGCGGTGGGTGGGAGATGGTGAGGGAGGTCGAGGGAGAGGGTGGAGGATGGAAGAATGGTCATATTTTTCTCAATGTCTATCCCAGAGCTCCGTCCCCTCTCCCCCTCTTTCAATCACGTCCATCAAAATGATTTCATCCGACATTCTTTCCTCGTTATGGAGTTCGGTTCATGATGATATTATGTGGCTCTCTGCTCAAGGGTGTCCACGTCCCTCATACCCCTCTCATAACCATCTCCCTTGACGCGCCCTCACCCCCACCTCCGACACGCCTCCACGCCCACCTCCGACACGCCTCCACGCCCACCTTCGACACGCCTCCACGCCCACCTCCGACACGCCTCCACGCCCACCTCCGACACGCCTCCACGCCCACCTCCGACACGCCTCCACGCCCACCTCCGACACGCCTCCACGCCCACCTCCGACACGCCTCCACGCCCACCTTCGACACGCCTCCACGCCCACCTCCGACACGCCTCCACGCCCACCTCTGAACACGCCTCCACGCCCCTCCCTCATCATCCCACAACCGCTTCAGTGACCTCCAAGCCCCCCCCCCCTCACACACTACTGCAACACGCGCCACACCTACGTTGCCTCTTTGTAAATCATGTACGTTGTGGTCATGTCTCTCCTAATTTTAATGTTATTGTTACAAGCTGTTTGGATCGATTTTTTTGCCTGTCCTTGTAGCCTTGTTCTCTTGGCATATTTCTAACTTGTGATTTGGTGGATAAGGATATGGGTAGCGAGTACGGGAGGAGTAGGGAAGATTTGTGAGGGATGGGGAGGGGTAGGAAAATGGATAGGGAAGTGTTTAAGTCACTAGGGAAATGTTTAAGCCACTGGGAGGTTGATAGGGAATATGAATATGCAGGGCAGAACGAGAAGAGAATAGGGAGAACAGGCGAAGGGTGGAGAGAAGAGGGAAGGGCAAGGAGAGCATGGATAAAGGCAAGGAGACTAGGGGGATAAAGGCAGGGAGAGGAGAGGTAAGGGCAAGGAGTACAAGGTAAAACTAACCTAACCTAACCTTCCTGGGCCTCGATATCTGAGGCCTAATACAGTACATATGTGTACTATACTAGGCCCAGGGATATATAAGTTTGTGTTTTAGCTTCATTTATTTTAAAAGAATTCCTTACGAGTCAGTATACTACTATCTAAGAGCTAAGAACGTACGGCTTCTGACTATTGACGATGGTAAAACTAGATACTATCTGAACAGGAGGATAGGTTGGTGCAGGGGTAAGGGCAGGGAGAGCTGGGGAGGGGGAGAGCTGGGGAGGGAGAGCTGGGGAGGGTGAGAGCTGGGGAGGGTGAGAGCTGGGGAGAGTGAGAGCTGGGGAGGGAGAGAGCTGGGGAGAGTGAGAGCTGGGGAGGGAGAGAGCTGGGGAGGGAGAGAGCTGGGGAGAGTGAGAGCTAGTACCACAGCAAGGAGACGGGTGCTCACAGACTGTGAAATTAACCCAAGAACCCACCTGATGCTAACCCCCATCCCCCCCCCCCTCTCCTCATACAACTACCCCCTCCTCAACAACCGCTCCACTAACACCACCACCATCACCACCACCACCATACTCATACAGGGAGTATGGTGGTGGTGTCATGGTGTCAACCAGTGGAATGAACTGACAAAAATTTGAAGAATTTGAACGTAAGAATAACAGACAACGTAGAATGGTAAAACCTGGAGATCTTCAAGAGAAAACTAGATAGTTTTCTTCAAGAAGTGCCGGACCAACCGGGCTGTGGTGGGTATGTGGGCCTGAGGGCCGCTCCAAGCAACAGGACCAAGTTCTCACAAGTCAAGCCTAGCTTCGGCCTTTGGGAGTAGAAGAACTCTCAGAACTCCTATACAGGTACAGTACAGAACAATTATGACACAGCAGGTAGGAGCAACAAGGTTAGTAGACGGGGCATAAAGAGCTAAACCTCACTCCTGGGGAATCAATGATAAGTACCACCACTACCACCCCCCACCACCACCCCCACCACGAACACCCACCACCACCACCACCACCACCCCCACCCCCACCACCACCACCAGTCATCGTTATTAGTACCACAATACGGGAAAAGGCAAGAGGAATAGAAAAAAAATAAACGATGAGGCGTGGATTCCAAGATTATCACCAGAGGCATACATAAACCGGTTAATATCGGCAGCATATGAGACGCTGGCAAACATTACAATACCACTTAAATCATAAATAAGGAATTTCTCCTGATAATTACTTTACCTCATCGAATTTAAAGTCACATGTTCCTAGTAGACTGACCCAATTTTCAGAATGATCAAACAATTTGCCTTCTAACACTTCCTTGAAGCTAAATGTGTCTATTGATAATGACTTAATCACCATATCGTAATTTAATTTGTATTAACGTAACTAAGCCAGAATGACTTACCCAGCTCACATCAAACATTTGCTTAAAACAAATTTAACTTTCTGTAACTTACAGTAACCTGTCTTTACTTACCAGTAAAGTAAAGGTTGACCAGTCAGCAACCAGGAGGCCTGGTCGACGATCGGGCCGTGTGGACGCAAAGCCTCGAAATCACCTCAAGGTAACCTCAAGGTAATATAAGGTAACCCGATACTAAGCTCTCATGATCTACCTGTCCTAACCTAACCTGTCCAAACCAGTCCTAACCTAAATTGTCTTAATTTAATCTGGTCCAATAGTAATCGCCTAAATGACACACTGAATGATTAAAAATTTAATCATTCAATGAATGTGAATGGTCTGAGTGACGTGAGCGGTCAAGGGACTCTTACCCATTACTGTCTAGGTAAACAAACTATGCAATAACAAAATACATAAAACTATTATATACAGGCAAGACATGATGATAAACAATTCCAAGTGATGTGACTATTCCCAAAATATTATTCAAATAAATCAATTATTACTAAATAAACTGTCAATGAAGTCCCACGTCCAGAAACCCCAAAACTAAAAACACTGAAAATCAAATTCCAATTAAGATGTAATTAAAAGTAAATAAAAACTTGGGTACGATTTCTGTACCAATACTATTTAATGGAGAAGAGAAGTTAGCGAGGGAAGGACAAACAGGGATGACTTTTGCTTAAACTGAGGTAATGGAGGTTATCTTGAAGTTATCTTGAGATGATTTCGGGGCTTTAGTGTCCCCGCGGCCCGGTCCTCGACCAGGCCTCCACCCCCAGGAAGCAGCCCGTGACAGCTGACTAACACCCAAGTACCTATTTTACTGCTAGGTAACAGGGGCATAGGGTGAAAGAAACTCTGCCCAAAAGTTAATGGAGAAGACAGGTTCCTCGCTCTGAGGGGAAGAACACCTGTCTCTCAACGCTGGTTCCTCTACCAAGATGGACGCAGGTAACGAGAGGGAGAGAAAGCTAAGATGTGTTCAAGATGTCTTCGGGAGCCGGTCAGCCGAGCGGACAGCACGCTGGACTTGTGATCCTGTGGTCCTGGGTTCGATCCCGGGCGCCGGCGAGAAACAATGGGCAGAGTTTCTTTCACCCTATGCCCCTGTTACCTAGCAGTAAAATAGGTACCTGGGTGTTAGTCAGCTGTCACGGGCTGCTTCCTGGGGGTGGAGGCCTGGTCGAGGACCGGGCCGCGGGGACACTAAAAGGCCCCGAAATCATCTCAAGATAACCTCAAGAAGAACAGGAAACTATGAATGGTTTTCCTGAACTCACAACGACTTTAAATGAAATTAATATGAAATTAGGCGTTCCAGGATAATATAGATGTTCAGCAGAAAAGTAATAATTATTAATTTCAACAATTATTATTATAATTATTATTACAATAATAACTAATTAATTAATAATTATCACTCTTCCTTCTGCTGGGTCATGAAGGAAGCGGGCCTCGGGTGACAGAGGGTTGTGAGGATCTCTGTCAGGAACCCGTAGGTGCGGGCCCGGGACGTCCACCTCCCGGGGCTCGTGCGGCCCCCAGGCTCGGCTTCAGGAGGCTGGGGTCGTTCTTGTCCTTGCTGGGGTGGTTCTTCTCCGACCCCGACCACGGCGGTCTCCGGGTTTAGAATCCCTGTGTCTTCTTTCACCAACTTCGAGGTCAACTCCGGAGCTGGAGTTCCCTAGGGCAGTTCGTTGTGGCCTTCAACCTCGTTCTGACAGTTCCTGCGACGGCGCTGGAACCAATCGTATTGGCGTTTGCCTTTCCATTGGAGACTTTCTGTGCCGTGGAGAGGGGTGACCTGCTGCATGGGTAACAGCTTCTCCCCCCGTATCTACCTATCCAGGCTTTGCGCCTTGGAGAGGCCACTCCAGACCGACAACCAGAGCGCAACTCCATAGTCTCCTGAGACTGATGGATGCCTATTAACCTAGATATGATAGAGCCCAATAGGCTCTGGAGGCTGGACCTAAGAGTCGGGACTTATCCGTAGGCAAGTACACTTAGCTGAGTACATACCTTGGGAGTCACACACCGGAGAGTACAAGAGACATTTCACGTACTAGGTGAGCACAAGAGAAATTTCTAAAAAAAAGAAAGTTTGTCTTTGAATGGAAATTTTCCCCCAACACTTAGTCTTAGCAACTCTCGCTCTTCAGTTTGTTTTTGTCATGCTCTTCAATTCGTGTTTTGGAACTCTTAGGCAGCATGGTGACTCCTGCGGGTCCTGGACGCCGACACAAGATGTTGTCTTACTGCACCTGTTGCCGTCATTACGCCGGGGATAAGGAGACAGGCTCGTCTTCCCTCCCGACATTTGCACGTAAAACACGACCTTCCACGTGCATATACGTGCATACTCCACGTGCATATACTGCCCTATTTCTCACATTGACGCCCCACTGAACATATCATTTAGGATGCTTCATTAAATCGCTGAATATATAAATGCTTTAAGAGCTGGACGATCCTTAAAGATAACGAAAAGGAGCGATATGAACGAGTCAATTTGAGGGCGTCCAGGAATGCAAGAGGGGACGCTAAATCTTGCGTCGCAACACCCACTCTGGGACGCCCTATCAAAGACACCCGCTGCAGCTCCATTACCAGGTAGGGCTAGCCCCAAGCAGGAGTGAGGGGATGAGGGCCAGGGGGGCGCGCACCCTTCTCAGCCCCCATCGCGACCCCTTCATATTTCATCTCCAGCCCTTTGTTAACCCCCTCGAGGCCCTCAACTACCCTAAACCAACCTCTACCTACACTTAATGAGGGGGGGGGGAGGCTTGCCTGTCGCCCGCTCACCCCTCTCATCTTCGACCCTATAGACCCCCCTTTCCCTCTATTGCCCCGTCCCTCTTCCCCCCCCCCCCTTCCATTCAACTAACGAGAGGGATGGAGAATCCGGCTGATGCACTCTCCACATTCCTTTATACACGGGCGAGAAGGGACCCCCCATCCCCTCTCTACTCCCACGCTGGAAAAGGTCAAATCTACTTTACCCACTGTGAACTTCAAGTGATATTGCTGCTAATACATTATACAGGTGAGAGAGAGGCGGGGAGTGACGGTGGGG